TATTCAAATTTGTATTAACTTCTACTAGAAAAACATAAGAGAAAAAATATGAAGAAAAGATTATACCTTTTTTATTTATATTTTTTTAATATATTTAATGATGTGTAATACAAAAGGAAATAACTTCTTTTCTTAAAAAAAAATATCATTCATGTCTAAATTAAGATTCGAATTTAAGATTTACAATTTAAAATTTTAAGTTTTTAACTAATTAAGTCACCTCAAGACTTTTTACTTATTTATTAATATTGTACATATAATAATTTATATGTAAGTATTTACAATATATAAAAATAATATAAATATAATTTAGATAATGTAAATAGCTTTTTTTTTTTTTTTTTGATAGGAGCAATAGTTAGGAGTTAGGAGTTAAAAGTTAGTACCTTATTCTTTGACAATGTTCGATCACTGGTCGAGATGCAATTCACCGACAACTCTTTTGGACTGCAGTGTTCACCAATAGACCACAACAAAAAAACGCGATAATGTAAATAATTGATTTTCAATTATTACGTTGATATCCTGACAAGTTGAATTTTATGCAGGCAATGCTAGCTCTACTGATGGCCGGGGCTTCAGCAGCAGCAAGTTTCGGGTACTTAGCACCAAGGTTGTCAAAATCAAGATTTTACCTAAAATCGTTTTAGTTAGGTGAAATCGGAATCGTAAAATCGAATCGGTAAAATCGAGATTTTACAAAATTTAATATATAATATATAATAAATTATATAAAATCAAAATCAAATAACAATAAATCAAATTTAGAGTTAAAAACTTGAAATTAGCTAATTAAAATCTAAATATCCAACAACATAAATAAATTAAACGAAGAAGATGACTTAAATTTAGAATTTCATATGGTTAAATCAAATTTGTTCCGAATTCCCGATTAAAATGTTGATTTGTGGTTGGGTTGTGTGGATTGTGGGTTTTTAAAATGAAAAATGAGCTTAATTTATGGGTTATCTAGTCAAAACTCACTAACCCAAGATGAGAAACCCAAAAAGAAATAGGCAAAAAGTCCAACTGCCAAACAGAAAGTAAAATTAAGATTTTACCTGATTTCATGGTAAAATCCGTAAAATCTAGATTTTAGCGTGAAATCTCAAGATTTTATGAATTTCAGATTTTAGTATAGATTTTACACGAAATGTCTTATTGAAATCGTAAAATCGTAAGATTTTAAGATTTAAATTTAGATTTTGAGAACAATGCTTAGCACACAAAGGGAATAGTTGGACAAATTGGTTGCCAATCGGCCAACAATTCAACTCCTTCTGTCAGCGAATTTCTGGGTCTTTGATTGGATC